GTCTTTTTTTTCTGTTTGTTAATAATTTATGCCCTGCCTTGTTCCAGAAAATACAGGGAGGGTGGCTCGAGGTTGGTATTTGAGGAATATCAAATCCCTTTGTATTATGTTTGGCCCTTTGGAATAGACCTATAGAAACAGTATTCTTGTCCATCTGCAAAAGAATACTCATGTAGGGACTCAAACAAATAAATGTACACCACTGTTTATACAGCACTATTCACAAAAGGGGGAAACAATCCAAGTGTCCATCAACAGATGAATGGATAAGCAAAACATAAACAAAATGTGGCCTATACGTACTATGGAATATTACTCAGCCGTAAGGAGAAATGAAATCCTCATACGTGCTACAAATGAAATAACCTTGAAAACATTATGCTGAGGGAAAAAAAAAGGCAGATGAAAGGGAAATATATGATCCCTCTTTTATGAAATATCTAAAATAGACATGCATAGAAACCAAAGTTGATTCGTGTTATTAGGGGCTTTGAGGAGAATTATTGCTGAAGAGATGCTGAATTTCTGTTTGGGGTAATGTAAACATTTTGGAAATAAAAGTAATATCAGTAATTGTTAAGGGCTAGGGTGGGGGTGGAAGTGGAGGGTGAGAGGTGATAGCTAAAGGGTTCAGTGTTTCTAAGGTGATAAAAGTTTGAAAACTGTAGAGATGGTTACACAACTCAGTGAATATACTATAAGCCACTGAATTGTATTCTTTAAAAAAAGACACAACATACATAAATATACAAAGGAAGGGTTGCAGCAAAATCTCCCCAGTTTCTTGGTGCATAGCACCTACTTCCCAGGCCTTAGTATGAATGGGGTGGAAAGGGGAGGGAAGGGTTGGGATAGGAGGTAGATTCTCTCCAGCTTTTAGTTTCTGTTGCTGCTATTGTTAAGTGCCATAGAGTTGGTTCCAGCCCATAGCAGTCCTGTATAAGGTTTCCAAGGAGCAACTGGTGAACTTGAACTGCTGACCTTGCAGCTCAAACCGAGTTTGCAGTACAGCTCATTAACCCAGAGCACCACACCAGGACTCCTTTAGTTTCCTAATGGGATTGTAATGTGAGAGAGAATGATGAATGAGCATTCAAGAACATGAACTAGCTAATGTTTTTCATCATATATTACCATATGAAAAGGAGCTTAGTGTTACCAGTGGGCTTCTAATCACAAGGTCGGCAGTTCGAAACTACTGCTTTGCCACTCCGTAGCAGAAACGTGAGGTTTTCTGCTTCCTTAAAGATTTATAGCCTCGGAAACACTACACAGGGTCGCTATGATACAGAACCAACTAGATAGCACACAGCTACCACCAACATTACTATCTGAAACCCTTCACACAATGTTCTATAAGCATTAAATCTAGCTCTCCAGCTGCATATTTATACTGGTTGCCACTACTTTGTAAGTCAGATTTATTGTGGTTTGTGGGTATTTTTAGACTAGCAAGATATCCCAGAAACCATCTGGTCTCTTGACAGTGGAAATTTTAAGCCAGTTGCTTTTCAGACAATACTATTATCTCCTGATTATGACTTCATGGTGTGTTTGGATAGAAGCAGCTTCCCAAGAGGTGTTGGGTCTGCTTTATGACAAAGGAAAAAATGTTAGATCAGTATGTTGTGGTGAAAAAGAATACAGGCCTTAGAATCATAGATATAAAGGTTTACATCTTGGCTTCTGCTGTGTTCTGGAAAAGGTTACTTACCTCACTTCTCTTTATGTAAAGTAGGACTGATAATACCTATCTCATAGGATTTCTGTATAGATTCGATGAGACACAGTATATTTAAAGTAGCTATCACAAAGCCCTGGTGTGGCGTTGTGGGCTAATGTGTCAGACTGCAAAGTCATTTGAACTGCAAGGTCAGTGGTTCAAGCTCACCAGATGCTCCTTGGAAATCCTATACAGGGTCGCTATGGGTTGGAATCGACTCGACGGCACGTAACAACAACAACATCACAAAGCCTAAGGAGCTCTGGTAGCGTTGTGGTTACGAGTCAGGCTGCTAACCTCAAGGTCAGCAGTTTGAAACTTCTATCAGCAGTCCCATGGGAGAAAGATGAGGCTTTCTGTTCCTGTAAAGATTTACAGCCTCGGAAACCCTATACAGGGTCACTATGAGTCAGAACTGACTCCACGGCACACCACCACCACTACCTGCACCATCACCACTGCACCATCACCACAAAACCTAAGGAACCTGGTAGCCTCGTGGATTACAAGCTAGACTGCTAACTGTCAGGTCATTAGTTTGACTCCACCAGTTCTGAGGAAGAAAGATGAGGCTTTCTGCTTCCATAAAGATTTACAGCCTTGGTCACTGAGTTGGAACCTATTTGGTGGCACACAACCACCACTACCACCACAGAGCCTGGTAGATAATAGGTTCCAGTTATCCTGGTGTTGCACTGTAGGATAAGTCCTAGACCACTAGATTGGTAGTTCAAATACACCAGCCGCTCCTCAGAAACCCAATACAGGGCCACTGTGAGTTGGAATGAACTCAACAGCACTTAACAACAACAACAACAACAAATCTTTATGGGAGCAGAAAGCCTCATCTTTCTCCCATGGACCAGCTGATGGATTTAAACTTCTGAACTTCGGATCAGCTATCCATCCAGTGCTTATATTATAGCACCGTCAGGGTTCCTAGATATATATGATAAGGGTTTAATATTCAGAACAGATAAAGCATTCCTAGAACTCAGTAACAACCCAACTGAAACATGGACTAAGGATTTCAATCGACATTTCACCAAAGAAGATGTACAAGTGGCCAGTGGACTGCACGTGCACAGCTGCTCACCATGGAAATGAAAACCTCAGTAAAGTACTACTTCACTTCCATCGGAATGGCTATTGTCAAAGAAAAAGAAAAATAACAAGTGTTGGCAATGATGTTGAGAAATTGGGACTTTTGTCCATTGTTAGAGAAAATGTAAAATGGTGTGATCACTGTGGAAAGCAGTTTTTTGGTGGTTCCTCAAAATGTTCAATATAGAATTACCATATGACTCAGCAATTTACTCCTAAATATAAGCCCTAGTGGCTTGAAAACAGAGACTCAAATTGATATGTGTGCACTAATGTTCATTGTAGCATTATTCACAGTAACCAAAATGTAGAAATAACAAACATGCCCATCAACAGATAATGAAGACACAAAATGTGGTGTATCCATACAATGGGATATTATTCAGCCTTAAAGAGAGAGAAGTTCTAATACTTTCTATTACATGGATGAACCTTAAGAGTTGTATGCTTAACTTGGCATTTGCCACTGTGGACACAAATTGTGCTTTCTCACAAGTGGCTTACTTCCTTCAAAACCATGATTGACAAACTAGGTATGACTGAGGCTGAGAAATTCAATCTTGAAATTGAAGAAGACAGAAACACAAGAAGAAAAGCCCACTGCCTTCAAATGAAATGACAGAACAGAAGAAGCAGGTGGGCAAATTGTAATGAGGTGCCGCTGTTAGTATCTACTGTACATTGCACAAGCATGACCTTCCTAGTTTCTTTCTTTTAGCAGTTTAACTTTGTAAGATGCACAGAGGTTGGGTCAAATTTAATTGACTGTGACTTCAAGAAATCAAGAACTATTGACAACAAAGGTGGTGCCTGGCTGACAGGCACAGAAAAGACCTTGGTGTTTGTGAAGGAAGGAGCTGGAGAGGGCAAAGGTGAATAAATGTATAGAGAGTCAAAAGCAAAGGTGTCTTGTAGACCTAAAATGCAGTTTAAATTGTTGAAATGATTTCAATTATTATAATGTACAATATTTAAAATATGCAAATAAAAGGTTTTAGAACCTGACTCCTGGTATGGCACTATAGGAAAAGCACTGGACTGCAAACCATAAGGTCAGCAGTTCAAACTCACCAGCTGCTCCTCAGAAACCCTATACAGAGTCGCTGTGAGTTGAAACTGGCACTTAACAACAATAATCAAACCTAAAAAGAGGAAAAATTTTAAAACTATATTATGCTGAGTGACAAATACTGTATTTTCTCACATAATATGAAATATCTAGAATCTAAAAGCACTGGATTGTTAAGCAAAAGTCAGTGGTTCAAACCCACCACCTGCTCCTCAGAACTCTATAGTGTCATCCGAGTTGGAACCAACCTGGTGGCATTTTATAACAACAGCAACATAATAGGCACATGTATAGGGATAAAAGTTGATTATTAGTTACTGGGAGGAAGAGTTATAGCACAGGTGAATTATCATTAGCAAACCAGCCATGTACTAGGGTAGTGGGAAACAAAGGTGAATAATAAATTAATCAAGAATCCATACTTATAGTCTTATATACGGGTCAGTGACAGTTGTCCGCACATAATTCTAATACAGTGAGATTAATACTACAATTCAGGTACCATGGAGTTTGGTTTGGATTATTATAAAGTCATAATGAAAAGCATAAAGCAGAAATCATATGTTCTTGAAATCTTTTAAATCATCAGGACTCAATCTGTTGGAAGCTTAAAAGTAATGAATTAAGGGAGGAACTATATTTCATTTTGATTCCCTTCGTAAAAATCAGTGCACTGCTATGCCTTTTGTAAGTACTTAAATGTTTGTTTCATGGATGATTTAGATTGCTTAAGGAGAGTTTGGGGCCTCATAAAAGGAAAAATGTTTTGCCTGTAAAGATGATTTAACATGTTACTCAACCTGTGAAGGGAGGTGAAGTATTCCTACATTGCTTTAAGCATGGACAAAATAGCCACTGGTCTTGACTCATCTACACAGGGTCTAGTTTGGAGAATTCTTTTCTCTTTTGACAAGGTTTGTTCTTTTAATGTGTTTTGTTACTAAATTAACTTAATTTTCTATTGTAGCTGCCCAAGGGAATTGTCTTTCTTGGTGGGTGGCTTAGAACATGCCAAGAGTGGATTCTAGAAGAGATTGTCATCCTTTTTCCTTAACTAGCATATACAGAGATTTTGATGCAATCTATTCTTATTTCTTGTTTTAGGAATCTAAACTCCAAGGTGGAGAGGAGTCCGAGCTGCAATGATACTGCTCAAGACAGAACAAAGAGCAGACTCAGAGCGGCTCCACCCAACAAAGCCAAGGTATATCTCAGACCCGGGCTTTTGGACCTCTTGTCCTGTCCCACAATGACCTGTGCACATGGCCACAAAACAAACTATTCCAGATGAGAAGAGGCAGGAGGGGTTCTGGGCACAGTAATCATATTGGAGGATTCTACAAACAGATGGGAACGAAGGCAACAAGATGAACCTGTACAAAAGCTATAGATATATATTTTTTATATACATATTTTCAATTTTATGTTTTAAGAGTATAGGAATTTTAGCTAAATGGTGTGCTTTCTGGACTAAAGATTTTCTCCATTTTTTAAGGTCATTTCATCCTTCATCCCTTTTTTGTCCTTTTCTCTCTATTCCTCCACCATCATAAAGGAATTATATATATACATAATAAAGTGGAGGGTCAGAGATAAAGAGGGAAGACCCTGCCACAAAAAAAAAAAAAAAAAAAATTAACAATCAGTGGGAACTTCATTGAACAGTTCTCTGGGTTGCTGGCAGTGAAACTGATGATCTACCCTGTAAACTGTCACTCAATCCACAATAAAAACCCCACAAAAAAAAAAAAAAAAAAAAAAGGATTGGCACAGTGGAGGCAGCAGTGGGCTCAGGCTTAACAATTGTGAGGTTGGCTGAGGACCAGGCAGTATTTCATTCTGTTGTGCATAGAGTCACTACGAGTTGGTACCGACTCAATGGCAGCTAACAACAATATACATATACATACATATATACACATAAAGGAAATTCAGAGTTCATGGGAAGATTCCATAATCTTTTATTTCCATCTTTCCATGACTTTTTGAAACCTCTTTGTATATATGTATACATAGTCATATATATACAGTCATGGTGTTTGCTCAGGCAACATTAACTGCATATACATCTATGGCTCCAGTTCCCATTATTGTCGTCGTTAAGTGCCGTCAAGTCGGTTCTAACTCATAGCGACCCTGTATAGGGTTTCCAAGGAGCACCTGGTGAGCTAGAACTGTTGAGCTTGTGGTTCAAACCAACTTTCCAGTCCAGTACATTAACCCATAGTGCCACAGCAGGACACCAACCCCCATAAAGCCTAATATATTAGCATTTTGAAGTACATACAATGGCTCATGCGCTGGACTGAAAAGTCGGTTTGAACCTTATACAGGTCGCTATGGGTCAGAACCGAATCGATGGTACTTAAACAACAACAGCAACTTTGCAATATACTTAAAGACAGTATTATTATTATATTATTTTGAAGATGTGTTACTATATCTGGAAGTAGTTTTTTCCTGTTTTCTTATGCTTAGAAAGGTATACTATATACTAAGATAAACATTTGACTAACTGACATTATATACAAACTGTACCTGACAAGTTCTGGTTTAATGCACAAACTTGACTTAAAGACGGATTTAGGGATGGAACGCATTTATAATCTGGGGACTGCCTGAATATATATGGTGTTCAGACAACATCCAAATCACATCATACCCTATTTCACAGAATGTATCATGGACTTTAAGTGACACATGAATGTATGTATGTGTATATATACATACATACATACACAGTCCTGGTGTGGCGCTGTGGGCTAATGCATCAGACTGCAAAGTTGTTTGAACTGCAAGGTCGGTGGTTTAAGCTCCACCAGCTGCTCCTTGGAAACCCTATACAGGGTCGCTGTGGGTCGGAGTTGACTCGACGGCACTTAACAACAACAACAACATATATATATATATAACTTTTTTTAAATCTCTTCCAGGTCACAACTATGACCCCAGCATCCAATCCTATAATTGGTGTCCTCTTGTCCACTCAAAACAACCGCTGCCTTTCAGCTCCTGATTTAACCATCGAAAAGCGCCTGCCCTTCAGCTCCCTTTCATCCTTGGTTTCCCTGCATAAGCCAGAGCGCTCGATCAGCCCTGAGAGCAATGACAGCATTTCTGAAGAACTAAACCATTTCAAACCCATCGTTTGCTCCCCATGCACTCCTCCCAAGAGACTCCCTGATGGCCGAGTGTTAAGTCCCCTCATCATCAAATCCACACCTCGTAACCTCAGCAGAAACCTGCAGAAGCAAACTTCTTATGAGGCCAGTCCGTGGATCCTCAAAAAGTGGGAACAGATCTTTCAAGAGCGGCAGATCAAAAAGACCCTTACAAAAGCCACTCTCACTTCTTTGCCTCCTGAAACAGGGGAAGACTTACTTGTCTCTGAAGTTATCCATTCTAGTAAGGACAAACCAGTTCTGACTGTAAATACAAAACTGTCCAGCAGACAAGTACCCTCTGAATATACTGGGCCCACCCCCACTGACCTTGATTTTTTTCCTTCTGTTAGCCAAACAAAAGCTGAACAGGGCAGTGATAGTAAAAGGAACATTGAGATTTCATTGGAAACTTGTTCCTCAGAACTCAAAGGGGGAGCCAGTGGGACTTCTTTGGAGAGAGAGCAGTTTGGGGGATCAGACTTAACCCCAGATGCCAAGTTAGACAAAGCCTGTATAAGTACGGTCATGAAAATCTCAGCAGTTAATTCAGTGCTACCCAAAAACAATGTTTCAGCTGGGGTCCTGAAAACAAAGAAACAGCTGAAGACATTGAATCATTTCGACTTGCCTAATGGTATACTGGTAGACAATCTAGGTGAGGAGCCGCTTCCACCCTTACGTCGGGGCCGGAAAAGACGTTGTAAGACTAAGCACTTGGAACAAAATGGTTCCCTTAAGAAACTGCGCCAGACCAGTAGTGAGGTGGGTCTGGCCCCATCAGATCCAGTACTGAGAGAAATGGAGCAGAAATTGCAACAAGAGGAAGAGGACCGACAGTTGGCTCTGCAGTTGCAGCGTATGTTTGACAATGAGAGGCGGACTGTGAGTCGGCGAAAAGGAAGTGTGGATCAGTATCTTTTACGGTCTAGCAACATGGCTGGGGCCAAGTAGCACTTAAAGGACAGTGTTACCTGTTTTCTCAAGGTCTTTGGGCTTAATCATTTATCCTAAAGAGCTATGTGTTCTCACTTTGGGGTTCTGTTGATGGCAAAACACTGTTTTATATGGTTCTGAGAGGTTCCAGGTCTTTGTCAATATCCAAGGGAATTGTAATAGTCTCTCCCTCTCTGTGATCTAGGACAGAAGCACTCTTCATCCACAGTGTGACCCACCCTGAGGGCTTCTGGGTCAAATCTGGCAGCATCTACTTGGAATGAGATTTAGGATAAGCCTCATTTTGGAGCACAGTGGCCAGTTAGAAACGGTAAAGGAAAGAGGGGATACCTTCTCAGACTGATAGCCCTCCTGGCTTCTTTCAATAGGGCTTTGTTTCAAATCAGTCGTGCAGATAAAATGCAGTCCATCTTGGAACAGTGTAGTTCTTTGGCAGCTCCCACATGATGGTTATGTTCCCTCTCTTCTCTGGCCACAGATAAATATATCTCCCTAAATTAATTGAGCTGATGCTTCTACAAAAATTGCGTCACATTCCCTGTTTAAAAAATAACACTGATTTAATACTGTTGTTGTTTAATTCGGTCTTTCCAAGAGACCTAACATGTAAGTGCTTTTATGCCCATTTTTAGATGAAGAAACTGCAGTGCAGATGTTCCAGTTCTCTCAACTACTAAGTGGCATAGCCCAGACTGACTGCTGGGTCTCCTGACAACAAATCCCATGGATTTTCCATACTAAAAAGTTGCCCTAATGGACTGCAACCCAGGGGCTTGCCAGGGAAGTCTAGGAAAAGCTGGCTGGGCATTAAGCACCATCGTGCAAAATCCATATGCAAACAGTTGAGATTGATGGGAAATCTAAATATATATGGTACAGCTGTCTCCAACCCCCACAGTTTACATCTTCCTGTTTTCCTGGGTGTTCCATCCTACAAGGCAAAGTATAATCAGGCTTCATTATTACTCTCCACGTGGTCAAGGAATTATCTGCAGTGTTGATCTAAAATCCTCAAAATTTGCCCAGAAGTCAGGCAAAGAACAATGCTGAAACTCCATTCTATGGAAACAAGGTATCCAGCTGGATGCAGCTGGTAAGTTCAGTCCCATGGACCTTTGGGGGTTATTTTCCTTAGCAGCTGACACCATGTGTCTTTTGCATCCCTGGTGGTGCTTGGTGCTTCTGCCCAACTGGGCTCATGAGAATAGGGATTAAGGGATGATTTTAGGGAATTTCAGTTGGGCTGGCATTCCCTGTGCATGTATGAACTGTTACTATAAAGTCATGGGACTGGCATTTTAACAAATTTACCAGAGTTTATATATTCTACTGTACATTGTTCCCTTTGTATATTCCTAGGAGCATACCGCCTAATTTCCCCAATGATGTTGCCATTGCCAAAAACATTTCTGGAACTATCATCAAAGTCTAGAAACATAGATAGACTCTTACAATTTTAGAATTAAAAGGGGCCTTCATGGTCATCTATTTCAATCTCCTCCTTTTTCTAAGGCAGAGTCTAAGATAAAGATCTCTTTGATTCTTCTCAGATTTGCCCTTTTTCTCAGAGCAAATCATCAACCCTTTGGGGTGAAAGAGAAAGTGTAGTTTGAAGCTAGCCAGCTGTTTGAAACATCTGGAAAAGAAGGTGGGTTATTAAGAGGGCAGAGATGGTTTACAGTCACAAATGAAGAGCCTTTCTGCTTCATCAGCTCCTAAACAGCTCCCAAAGAAACTTAAGCTATGTCTTAAGCATTGTGGTCATCACTGAGATCTGTGGAACTGCTTCAGTGACGACTTTGATGGGGAACATCACTCACCTGAAGGTGTGTATTCTGTGCTCTCTGTGTTTGTGTGTGCATGTTTGCACACTCACACGTACAAAATGTATGTTTTAAAAACATAACTTCATTCTCTTTATATTCATACCACTTCAGTTCTAGGTCCTACCAGCAACATATGCCTTCCAGGGACTGCTGGAGGGTATGTTACTGCCCAAGATGGACGAGCTGGCACTGGTCTGCAAAGGACAGGGAGGATGACTTTACTAAATACCCTTAGGAAAAGCATCCATTCCTATCATTTCATAGACTTTGTTTTTGATCCTAGTAGATCATATTGGAAAGCTAGTCCTATTGGTAGTAACAAAGACACTTATTTTTCCACTTACCACCTTTTTCTATATCTCCAATAATTTGAAAAATGTTTTTCAGTTGGAACTGAATTTTGTTTTCAGAAAAAGATATTTTTAATAGATAAAAGATATATATTTTAAATATTTCCCCAAGTTTTAAGAAATTGCATAGAATTAGCGACTACTTTTAGCTTCAGGTGTAGAATAAAAAGCTACTTCTTGTTAAGCAAATAGTCCAAATGCTAGATCCAGCTTGCCTTTTCCCCTTGCACCTAATGTGGTGCCTTAATGGTATTGACAGTAGTTGTATTCCAAACTTCCTGCAGAGCTGTGGTCCCTCAAACATCGGCAGAGCAGTTTAGGTTATTATGGAGGGAAGGGAACTGATGTTTCATCTGCTGGGCTTTGGAGGAGGAAGAAACCACTAAGGTATTATTTATATTTTAAGATGCTCCCTGTACTTAATAACCAAAACCTGAGCCCCTTTCTTTTCTGAAAAGTGTCTGTATTGTTTTGGGTTGTGAAGTTGGTTATAAATAGAATTGTTGGCATGAGCTCTTTTGGGTGAAAAAGGGTGAGAAAGACCAGGAAAATAGAATGATGGGGAGAGCTTGTGAGCTAGAATGAGAGATAATATTTCACATAACACTCACAAGCCATTGAAGTCCAGCTCACCATACAAATTGCCCACATCCTAACTCAGTCCCTTGTGCTATGTGCATTCTGTGCTTGCTTCTGTTTTTTTCTTATTAATGGGGAGGTTTTGAGAGGTGACGGGGTGGAGGTCATTCTGAAGGGAAGACCCAGAAATGTGGTACCCTGAAGAGGAGCCCTTTTCTATAGAGTGGGAAAGACGCTTTGGGCACATGTTCATGATCCATTGATGGTATCCAGTACAAGAAGTCATCTGGGCCTGCTGGATTGGTATCAAGTCTAGATTATGCATCCAGCCCTGGCCCTTTAAAAATAGTTGCTTTAAAAAAAAAAAGTTTAAGTCTTGACTTAGGCTTACTAGGAAAATTTTCATAAGTGACTTCAATAATTACTTTTCTACAAATTTAATTTTTTAAATTTTTGCCTAGAAGAAGCACCGGTGATGAATATTTTCTATTTTTTGTTTTCACGAAAGGAAAAATATCCTTAAGAGATTAAAGTTGCTTAATTAATTGCTCTAATTATAAACTGATGACTAAAATGGGAAGCTGCCACTGTGTATTTGACAGATGTTTCCTGAACTTCAGACTCCTGTGCCAACCCTGTGCTGGGAAAAGATCTTCCCTGCTCTTGAGGAACTTCGGCTGGAATGTATTTGTATATGTGGCTGGAGAGTTTGTTAATGGTCTTACAGAAAGGCCAATTTTTTTCGTAGCAGTGACCTCGGATAGTCCCATTCATAATACTGTCCAGCACCCAGCCTGAAAAAAAGCCTTGCACATTTGAGATACCACTTCAGTATTTGTGAACTAGACCACAACACTACTTTCTTTTTTTTAAGTGGTTTTACCAATGGAGAATGAATTTTCTCCTCCAATGATGTTGTTGTTAAGTGCCGTTGAGTCAGTTCCAATCATACAATCATAGAGGGTTTCCGAGGAGTGGCTAGTGAGCTTGAACCGCAGACCTTGTGGCTCAAACTGACCTTGCAGTCCAGCACATTATATTACAGCGCCCCACCAGAGCCTCCAATGATCATAGGACAATATCTCTTCCAAAGCTGTTCTTAGCTTAAGTCTAGGAAATTAGTAGATTGTGGATCACTGACATGGCCAGAGGTGGCCCACAACTCAACTTGGCAACTTCTTAACCTCCTTTGCAGCCAGATCTCTCATCAGAGCTGGCAGCAAAATGGGATTCCTTTTTTTTTTTTAAATCATCCTGCCTGGCTTTTCACTGAGATGATGGAGGGCCAGCAGGAGGTGGGAGACTGGTTCATTATCATAGTATGTTATGTAGCTGGAATGGTCATAGAATTCATCCAAGATAACCCTCCCCCTTTTCAACAGGTGAGAAACACACAATTTGTTCATGACACTCAAATAATTTAGGAGTCTTTTAACAGATCTTCCTCTTTTTTTTTTAAAGTTAGAATTAAAATGTACCTATTATTCCTGAGTGGTACACTCTCAGGAGAAAATCTCAGGAGAGACAGTCTCTATAGTGTGAGTAATGTGAATATGAATATGGAATTTGGGGAAGTTATATATTTTGTTTGGAATAATTTAATTATCATGGGTTAAAGCCCAGACCCTTTATTTTTCATTGAGAATCAAGAACTCCTTAGGGAACTCAAATCTTTTTCAGCCAGCCTTTTCCTCAACATCCCAGCTATAAGAGTGGCCATTTGACCCGGTCTTTAGGCATAAACATAGCTGGTTATGAATTTTTGTAACACAATGAGAAAGCTGAATAACTTTTCCTCCAAGGATGATCCAGAAATGCATCTTCACACATAGTTGTTACACAGTACAGATCACCAGTTCAGAGATTGGTAGATTAGAGGAAAGAAGTGCCAAGACTGGAATGCACATTGTCCCATGTATTAGTATTTTTGTCTTCCTAGAAAAGCACTGTACTCACTCTGCTTTCTGAGTAAATGCTTCCCTAATGTCTTATAAGTAAAGGGACAACTCTTCACAGCCTTCCTCTTGTGGGCTAACTCTGGGCAGGCTCCCGCTGTACTTCTTCAATTGTCTTAAATCAAGAAATAGTTGGACAAAGCCAATGTTAAGATACCCTCTCATTTGAAAAGAGGTAAAAACAGGCAGTGCACTCCTCAAATACCAAGCTGTTGGAGCTCAAGAGTAGTCTTGGAATCCTTTGTTGTTGTTAGTGCCGTGGCTCTGGATTAATGTGGCAGCCGTCCGATTCTCCCCTTGTTGGCACTCCCTATTCTCCAGGCTGTGTCACCAATAGGAGCAGAGACTCTGGGTTCAAGTTGGCATCAGATATGATACCGTTGCCTCCAGGAGCACTTAAAAAGTTGCAGTAAGAGAATAGATGCTATGCAAGGGGGAAAAAAGATCTTAACTACAAACAAATGGATTTTTTTTTTCTGCTTGATTTGCTACTTATTCTCAACTCTGTACAAATGCTGTAGGACCTTTTCTCCGCCCGCCTAGAAATAGAAAATGGTTTGTGTATTGGTTTTATTCCTTCTGTTCTCCGCATTACAATCTAAGAAGGGGCCTGGATCCTTGTGAACTACCACTGTTGGCTGCCTCGTCTCCTACTCATCCTCAAGAGCATTTTGACAAAGACAGAGGACTCAGCACAGGCCATGCCTGTCAAGGAAGCTTCTGTCAACAAAACAATGGCATGGAATCAAGCAGGATGATGTGTTATTTAAACAGTACCAAAGTGCATTCTTCAATGTATGTCTGTCTGTTTGAGAAGAGGCCTAAATTGAGACTACAGTAAACTCATGAAAGTGACTGTTCTGTTTTTAGTCAATCTTGTCTCTGGAGAACAATCTCAGACAAACCTGGATGAGCTTAGACTATGTGTGTGGTTAGATTTTGTTTTAATTTTGGGAGGTGTGCCATGGTGGAAAGCCTTGCTTTGGTATTCATGATGGGAGAGAGGGAACAGGGATGGAGTTTCCGTATGTTTCCATGGTGAACAGCTCCTCCTTTTGAACTCTCATACAGTTCCAGTTTGACTTTCTATCATATTCACCCATTCATATTTCTAATGAAGATACCAAGAAAGAGTTTGAGTAAAGAACAAATACACAGGATGACATTTTCTTTGCATATTAGAGCTATACTTAGAGTATCTGATTTAATACCTTTTATATATATATATATAAACAATTTTTAGCCATTCACCAAAATCCCCTTGACATCTGTTTCCCATCCAACAAAGAACAAACATCTCTGTTCCATCGAAACTTTAGAAAAAACCATTTTGAAAGACTGTTCTAAGAGTCCATGTCATGCATGGCAAACCAGTACTTGTTTTAACTCCTTTAAAGTGGGGCTGTTCAAATAGTTTTTAAGAAACAGTGCACCTAGTTAAAGAGGATGAAACTTAACTGTCCCTTAGCCCCTAAAGTAACAAAATCCTGTACATACCACCCCTTATTAATTCCCCGGTAGCCTGGTGAGGTGACTGAGACACTAACCCTGGGAGTTACTCGTGGTCTGCACACTGGTCATCTGAGTGCAGTGCTCCATTCACTCCTCCCCGAACTAACCCTAACAGTGGGGCCAGCTGCTGTCTGGGTTGGATCCATTACTCTGGGATTGAGCCTGGAAGAGATAAACCAGACTCTTGTCTTCCTTCTACAACCATTTTAAGAGTGGGAGGTTATCCCAAGAGAGCAATGAAATATGGGGACACAATCTGCATCCAAATCAATTCTTTCTCTCGCGGGCTCTCCCAGAGTACTCCTTTGCATCTTTGAAAACCGGAGGAGCCTACCTGATCTTGCAGGATTGGTTGGGAGGAACGGTTACCTGATCTTGCAGGATTGGTTGGGAGGAACGGTTACTTCTGGTTTGCTCTTATTTGTTGTTAAGTGCTGTTGAGTTGGTTCCAACCCATAGCAACCCTGTATAGGGTTTCTGAGGAGCAGCTGGTGAGTTTGAACCGCCAACCTTGCAGTTCAAATAGCTTTGCAGTCTGGCGCCTTAACCCACAGCGCCACAGCAGGACTGCTCTTATTTAGAGCATTAGAGAAGGATCAGAGGAGAGTAACAGGCAGCTTTCCATTTGCCAGTGGGTAAGAATCAAGCACTGGGAGAATAAAATATGCAATGGTAGACCTGCAGAGGGTACCGTGATTATGTTGCTAACAGGTAATTAGGAATTCTTACTCATTTGAAAAATCTCCTCTCAGGCTACTCACTGAAACTGACTAGGTCATGTCTCTTCAGAGGCAAAAAATAGGAATTCAAGAACAGGAATTGATCTAAACCTCTCAAAGTGTGTTTTTAACACCCAGAGGGTCCATAGAGATTGACAAACCCCACTGATGTTATGGGGTTGAATTACTTGCCCTATTTTGTTGTTAAGTGGCGTCGTTTCCAATTCATAGCTACCCTGTATAGGGTTTCCAAGGAGCAGCTGGTGGGTTTGAAGTGTTGGTTTTGTGGTTAGAAGTCCAGTACTTACCCTACACCTATTTATCATACCACACATAAATCATAGGGTTAAAAATTGAACCCTATGTTAATGCAAGTCCAGATTGCTCCCAAGATAGAAAAGAATGCACAGCACTGGTAAATGGGTATACAAACTCCAAAGATGTAGCAAGACACCCGTATGGGAGGGTAGATGGTAGGCAGTCTTTCTCAGGATACTCACAGAAACTGACTAGGTCTAGGATATCCTGGTTGCTGGTTTTTCTTGATGGGAACATGGTGATTTTAAGGGAACAGGGAGGGACCCTGGAGTAGTTACCTTTCGTATGCACTGGTAGTGCTTGTGAGAACATGCCCAGTGTTAGGCTTCTAACATCCTAGCCATAGCTATGTATTATACTGAATAAACCCACAAAGAGCTGCCATGGGCCATTACCCATTCTTTCTAACACAAACATTTTATAAACTTCTTTGATACCTGGGGCCCTGGTGGCACTGTGGGTTAGGCATTGGGCTGCTAGCCTCAACGTTGGCCCTTCAAACCCACTAGATGATTCATGGGAGAAAGATGAGGCTGTCTGTTCCCATAAAGAGTTAACTCCATTGAACAGTTGTACTCTGCCCTAGAGGAGGGTCGCTGTGAGTTGGAATTGACTCAATAGCCGGGGGTTATTTGGTTTTGGCTTTGGACCTGGACTGAGCACCAGAGGTATAACCAGTTTTTGATACAATGTGATAACGTCAATGAAATCATAGGGCCACAGCAGTGCTCATTTCAGCTTGGGAAGAGAGTTCATGGATACACATGAACTGAGGGTCAAAGGATAAATAAGCAACATTAGGTCTTTCTGGAAGAGTAGCTCACAGAAGGCCTCCAAGGTAGGAAAGCTGAAAATCAGGATGAGCCTGTCAACCTCAAACTCCAAGACTAAGAGGAACTGTAAAACTCCTGTCTTACGTACCAAAGGTCAATTTCAAGTATAAAAGAGGGAAAACCATTCTTGGCAATCAGATCCAACTCAGAGCGACCCTGTCTAGGGTTTCCTAGAAGCCACTGGTAAGTTTGAACTGCTGATCTTGTGGTTCAAACCAACCCTGTGGTCTAGTGGTGGTTAAGTGCCGTCGAGTCGGTTCTGACCCATAGTGACCCTGTATAGGGTTTCCAAGGAGCAACTAGTGAGCTTGAACCACCAACCTTGTAATTCAAACGACTTTGCATTCTGGCGCATTAACCCACAGAGCCACACCAGGGCTAGTGGTAGAGGCTCATTAAAGGCAAAGAGGTAATGCCACCGGTTTTAGGAGTGGTTGACATCAAGCTAGGCTTCTTCAGTATGTTCTGACATTAGTGATTAGTGCAGGTTTGGCTTGGCTGGGCAGAGAGCTTGACTCAAAAGGAGAGGTAGCACCACTGTGGGGCTTAGGAAGATAGCTCAATGGCCAGAACGGTCCAATAGTTTTCCCAACAGGAACTGTCCAGTAAGTTCCCTGCCTTGAGGTTGGGATAAGGATGCTCCTACGAATCTTTAAGGCCTGAGAGACTATGGTGATGGTGTTTCTGGCTGAGAGGAGCAGAACTGGAGCCCAGCAGGGCTTTATTGGATGAATGTTGAGGCCCCCAAGGATCCTTCTGGTGAGTCACCAACATGCTGGGTCTCTGCTGTAGACCTGCATCTGTTCAGGAGCCCGTGTGAATGGGTAAGAAGGGCCTTTGTAAGCTGTTGGTGTGACCTGTGTATGCCATTGTATGATATGAATGTGTGTGTCTGGGTATGACCACAGCTGTGTATAAATATTTAACTGGCCACAGGTGTGAGAGTGTGCAGTTGAGTATGATGGTATGCAAATATTTCTCTGAGTCCTAACAGTGCCTTGGAGTCCTGGTGTGGCACTGTGGGTTAATGCACCAGACTGTAAAACCATTTGAACTGAAAGGTCGGTGGTTCAAGCTCACCAGCGGCCCCTTGGAAACCCTGTCCAGGGTCACTATGGGTCGGAACCGACTCAATGGCACTTAACAACAACAGTACCTTACCCTTGGAATGCAGATTTTCCACTGCTTGTTAAATAGATGGTGTCTCCTGTCAGACCTATGACTTGTAACTGTAATGAGTGGGCGCCTGGGTTTGATTGGTGTGCTACTCCCGACCTTGCTTTTATTGGCTGTGAACCCTAGCCTCTGCAGCTGCTCTTTTGTCGACCCCCTGTGCTCCTTCCTAGTACTATCACAGCTCTTCTGTGCTCCTGTGACTAAGCTTCCCACAGGACTCCCGTTTCATATGCATCTGTCAGGGATTTCCGCCCCCTGATCCTGACCCAGGTTCCAAAAAAGAAGTGTGGTGCCTTGCTCTCTGTGCCCATTTTTTATTGCTGCCGGGCCAGTGTTGGGTCCTGCCCAGCCCTGAGAGGAGAGGTCCTAAGGAGCTCTCCACTGTCCCATAGACAGCAAGTGAAGCTGAGCTGAGCTAGTTCCCCACCGACCAAGAGCCACAGTCAGGGCATATAGCCCTCAGGGAAGGTGGTGGGCACAGGCCAGCCCACCTTTCCAGTCACTGGCCGGGGGAGTCCTGGCAGAACTCATCCATGAACTCGAGAAAGCGGCCAAACTTGGGCTGGCTCTCGCCCAGTGCAGGACGCTGCAGAGGCGGTGGGGGCTGCCCAAACACTGTTCGCATAGAGTTGCGCACCAGCTGCCGGTAGCGGGCCCGGAACTCTTTCAACAGCCGCTTGGCTTCCAGGTACTGCTTCTGGTTCACCAGCCGCTGCTCCGCCCGCCCACACAGGATGGCACCTGCAGGAGAGAGGCCTTGCCTGGATGCCAGCCACCTGCCCAGAGAGGCACCAGGCGCGCCCAAGTCCCATTCCACCAGAAGCAGTCTAGGGATGGGTCCAGAAGCCACGGGAAACTTAAGGGGTGGAAAACGGCAGCTCCAGCTTGGGGCAGTAGGAAATCAGTGGTGTCCCCTCCTGATTCTGTCTCAAGCTTTGGGTCACACTATGGCCCTGCTCTGCTCTGGGCCTCTGTTTCTCCATCTGCACTCCAAAAGGAGTGCAAATGCTTTCTAGGGGGTCTTAACACAGTCCTCTGTCTCCCAGCAGCAGATGGGAGTAGACTGCTGGGCCTTGGGTCCTGGCAGCTGAGGCTCCCTGGGGTCAGAGTCATACCTAGTGGAGCCTCGGTGACATTCCGGGGGTCCCGCATGCGAATCAGGATGTCATCCAGCAGCTGGGCTCGAGTCTTCCGTGGGGGTGGAATAGGGATCCTCTGGGCCTGACAGGAAGTAAGCGAGGGCATTACCCAGGTTTATGCTGACACTCATGGTGGCCTCACCCTCTCATAATCACAGCCACAAGCAGGGGCACACTAGGGGTACTGGGAGAGCAGTGTCCTTCGAGGGTCCCCAGATGACAACATCATCTGTGACTGGGGATCCCGAGGGGCTGCTGACACAGGGGAATGCTTACCTGCTTCTTGGGGGTGAAGGGCTTCTGGTAAGTGTTCATTTTGGGCTTGGAGGGGCGGCAGAGGAGCGGGTGCTTCAGTATGTGCTGTAGGGCCTGGGCATTCTTCTGGATCCCTACACGACCAGGAAGGCAAGGTGAAGTCAAGGCAATCTCCCTCCTCCTGGATGTCTCCCCTAATTGCTCCTTTCCCAAAGCTCACAGCAGCCTTGGGTGAAGGGATTTGAGAACCCCTAAGTAGAAAACAGGGCTGCCAGTTATCTCCCCAACCTGGTGCTGTGCCTGACATTCCATCACTCATTCAGAGAGTACTCGTCTCCTGTGAGCACAACTCTTAATGGAAAATTAACACTGGAGCTGGGAAAGGGACTGAATTCACTGTGACCCTTTGAACCTCAGGGGATTACCCTACAGGAACCATGATACCCTAAAGAGCTGAACAGCATGCCAGTTCTTTTGGGAGCACAGATACTATTAGCATATCAGTCTGCAATGAGGGGTGTAGAGAGGGAGCAGCTTCCACTGCCTCCGTCTAAAAGGGTCTTAATTGTGCAGCCCAGACTGAGTTGGAATCTCTGAACAACCTTGGCTTCTCAAAAGCCAGTGAAGTATCAAGGATCAAGCCTATCCTCTCAGTGCACAGGGTGGATAGGGACAGGCAGCTGACTACCTAGAATGGAGGTAACAAGGGAGCTATGAAGCATGAAGTGGCTGGCTTACAAGTTTTCAAGAGGGAGTATAGTTTCAGAGAGAGGGGGGAAAGGTCCAGTCTCTGCTGAATAGTTTTCATCAGGTCTAGATGAGTCTGGTGAAAGGAGATGGGGATAGGATTCTTTAGATTCAATTGTGAGTAATTGTTATCATGACTAACTGTAATTGTCACAACTGTAAAGGTAGAAGTTGTGTAACATAAAAGGAGTAGTTAATCTTACATTCCAGGAACAGAGGACCCCTAGGACCATCAAGAGTGAAGAACATGAGTGGACTGTGGGATCCTATCCAGAGAAACAGCGACACCAAGATGGAGGCAGAGGTGATGGCATGGAGAGATAGAGCAGAGGACTCTAGACTTATGGAAAGAGAAAGACTGTGTGCTGGTGGTTAGGAGGCTGGCTTGCAAACTGTGCCCCATGGCTGTTTAAATGTTGATATATTCCTACATGGTTTTTGTGTGCATCAAAAAGAACAAAAACAAAGTGGGACTAGAGGCAAATACTATTAACTGATGGCACACAGAGGGGATTGTAATCATTGCAGTGAAACTAAATACAATTGGTTGAATGCAAAACTGATGTTCTGCCATGTAAACCATCCCTCAATTCACAATAAAAGCTTTATTTTTAAAAAAGCCAATAAAGGCCTAGGCCAGGTCAGGAGTCCCCTTTGACATTTAAGATGGACAGCACATCCTGGCTAGGAAAAGAAACCTTGGCTCCAACCTTAGCATGACCCTGACTTGCTCTGGGCTGTGGAGAGGGCCCTTTGTCCCATAGTAAGCCTGCTCACATACCCTTTGGTTCAATGAAGTCTGAATCGGGCTGGACTGTCAGTAGGTCCTCATAGCCGTTGTACTTTCTGGGGAGGGAGGCAGATGGGAGCTTCCTCCGAGTCCTCTTCACCTCTTTAGGTGCTGTTGATGGTCGTCTTTGACCTTCCTCCTTCACCGCTGAGTCATCCTGGATGGAGGTAGGTAGCCCACTCACCTGTGACCAGGAAGAAAAACACATTCATTCCATTAACACTGGAGTCTAAGACTGAGCTCTGTGTTGCTCCCTAAGCTGGGCCCTGGGGACAGTGGATGCCCTCAATAGTTTGCAGACTGGTTGAGAGGAGACAGACCTGAAAATAGACAATGATCATACACTTTAATAAGTACAGTTACAAGGAAGCACAAGAGTTTGGATGGGCCCAGAGGAAGCACTAACCCAGGATGATGGACTAGGAAGCTTCCTGGAGGAACTAGTAGGACGATCTCTGGGCAGACGTAGTAGGTGCAATGTGGTGATGAGAAAGGATAGTTTTGAAGGCAAGGAATAGCCTAGGCAAAGGTGCAGAGGTAAGATACAGCAAGGGACATTTTGGGGAACTAGGAATTGGTATCACTGGAGTGCAACATGCAGAGTCGTCAGGCAGCTGGGTCAGTAAACAGATCAGTTGTTATTAACTGCTGTCCAGTCAGTTCAGACTCTTGGTAGTAACCTTACACATAACAGAGCAAAATATTGACTGGTCCTGGGCTGTCATAAGCATTGCTATGTTTGAATCCATTGTTTCATGTCACCTTCCACTTTATCAACCGTGATCTCCTTTTTCATGATTTATCCTAGGAATACAAGGTTGGTTTATGACAATTAATGTGTCAATAGAATAAAGGACAAAGAGCACATTATCATCTCAGTGGATAGAGCAAAAGCACTTGACAAAATCTAATACCCCTTCATGATCAAACAATCGTCCCTCCCCCCATGTCATCTCCTCACATGTGCATCCTGTACTGCTCTGTTTCTGACAGAGATATATTGCTAAAAAAGAGCAGTACGTGATGTGCATGTTTGAGTAACAGGATTACTTTTGGACATACAATTCCTTTCTTGTCTATTATTTTCCTTTCAGCTAACTCAATTGTTTATTTTTAATACTTATTGTTTACACTCTGCCTTGTTCCAAAATGACTGAGATAGTTCATATAGATCTTCAATACTGTGTGAATGTATATGTCACTATATCATCTGTGAAAGAGATGGATGAGTAGTTAACATACATGCAAACAGAGAAGTGGGTAAACAGCCATCTCCTTGAGTGTGTCAGTAGCCCCTCAAATTATAAATATCTGGCAGTGGCAAGACTGTAGACAGAGATCAGTCAGGGGGAAATCAGTACAAAAATGAAGTTTAAGGGGGCCCATTACCTCATCCAGCTTTAGGTTCCCCTTGCCTTACACACCACCCCTGTTCCACTGACATGGACCTGGTTGTTTCTCCCACATGTATGATTTCATTTCCTTCTCTACTTGCACTGCATGCTGTTTGCTGTCCACATCTTCTCTTCATTAACTCCTAACTCAGCCTGTAAAGCTCAGCTCATCTAAATTTCTCCCAGAAAGCCCTGGACTGGGGTAGGAGCATCCCCCTTCCTTTAGGTTTCAAGCCCTTGGACTTTTCTCCATCTCAGGACTGACTCCGTGTGTTGTTACTGCAAATCTACATCATTAGATTGAGAATACCTTGAAGGCAGGACCAGTGTCTGATCTACTTGTGTTCGCAGGCTCCAGAGAGCAGCAGACCCTTCTCAAAAACTGATCAGAACCATGCCCCAGCTACACTCCAGATATTGCTAATGTCACAGGGCCATGACCTGTCCCTCTGTGTGTCCCTTGGGTCAGTGGAACTAGACAGGATACGCAGACCCTGCCAGGGTGCCACCTTCTGGTTTCTAGACCTGTCATGTGTTTGTCCCCAACCACCCACAGCCTCACAGTCATTGAAGGGTTACCCAGGGACATGCAGGAGCTGGAAGAGGTAGGCAGGGTCAGGTGGTTCCAGGCACCTGGGTCAAGAAGATGGACTCGATGCTCTTGGTGTCCTCATCTGACAGGTGCTCTGGGCTGCCGTGGTCAGCTACATCACTCAGGTGGGACGTGCTCTCTTCACTATGCACGGTAGAGTCGGAGCGGATGGCAGGCAGTGGCACAAAGGTCTGGTGGGCTGTGGAAAGGCCCTCGGAGCCCTCCATGGGCATCTCTGCATCCACAGAAGTGCTTTTGTCAGTGAGCAGCTCTTCGGTGAGCTCTGCCCTTGCCTCTGGCACATCCCTTTTCAGAGACTCGACAGCGGTTATTACACTTGGGTACTGGAGCATCAAGGGCTGTTTCGGCACCTTTGGGATTTGGGTTTTCACCTGTAATGAGAGAAAGGCTAGGCTGGACTTGCTCCCTAGTAAGGGGGTCCCTCCTTTTGGACTTCACCAGTTTAGGACCACTTGGTATAGTGGTCAAAGCACTGGGTAAGGACTCATAAGGGAAGGATGGGGAGAGGGAAGTCATACTTATTGGGCATCTATGATGTATCCCCATGCATGGCATGGGCTGTTTTCTTAACACTAAAAACTACCTGTGAATAAAGATGAGGAAACCAGGCTCAGAGAGGCAAAATGACTTGTCTGAGATCACTGAGTAATTCAGGCAGAGTATGGGCTCTCTCAGTCCAATCTGGGGCACCAGGCCTCATTCTTCATCTCTGACTCTTGGGTTCTGGCCTTCGGTCTAACATAGTGCCCTTGACTCTCCTCAGGGATGCTCCTGCATTTTCTGGAAGGCAGTACCACTGGACCTCTGCAGGTCCCTGTGTCTTGTATAAAGATTCACAAGGCAACTCTTTCAGGCCCAAGGTTGAGAAAACACCTTCTTTTCCTGCTGAGCTAGCTGTTCAGTTACTGACCACAAGCTTGTCACATGATCATCCTCCTTGCCTCTCCTGTCAGGTGGTTTAATGTGTAGTCTGGTGGCCACGTGTTCAATTTCCTTCAAGCAGGCTTACTTTTCTTGCCTTCCCCCACCTTATTAAGAAATAAATTTTTTGTAAAGGTGTTTGGTCCCTTTTTACAGACTGTGTCAGTGTAGTGTAAAGATCTGAAGCAGTGCAGTTAGGAAAACAGGGCTGGATGCAGTTCCACCCCTTTGAGCTTCCATTTTCTTGTCATGCCTGGATTGGGTTGCAAAGGAGATGCTGTGGACAAATGTACTTAGCAAACTTGTGAGTGTGAAGGGTGGTTATTTTAAAATATGTTTGTTTTCAAGAAATGATTTCCTTTTTGAAAAGATGTAACATTTCAGTGTTTATACTTGAAGCCTGAGGAACTCAGAATCTTGTTTTGAAGCCTATGACAGAGGACAGGCAGCACCATGTTTCGATGCCCAGAAACCTAATGCCACCACTGCCTAGCTGGTGGGGAGGGGACATGACCGCTCCCCCCACAGATCTGTGGGATGGAGGAGTACTAACGGTACTCTTTGGTCTGTCTTTATCCCACCACTCCTGTAGTCTAATTGGGCAGACACTGATAGTGATTGGTGGGCTGGAATGCTATGGTGGTGATGTGCTGTTAATTTGGTTCCAGCTCATAATGACACTGTTTAGGGTTTCAAAGGCTGTAACTCTTTATGGGAGCAGAAAGTCTCATATTTCTCCCTTGGAGCAGTTGGTGGATTTGAACTGCTGACCTTGCGATTAGCAGCCCAATTACACTACCAGGGCTCCTTTGAACATAATATTGTTGTTAACTGCCTTTAAGTTGGTTCCCACTCAGTGACTGGTGAGTATAAACCACCAATCTTGTGGTTGGCAGTCCAGTGCCCACAGTTTACAAGAATGTGGTAATTAAGGAAGTAAGCAAGAGAGGAACAAATTTGCAAAAAAAAAGAATTTTCTTTGTGGCCAATCCCAAAACACACTGCCATCAAGTCAATATAGTATGACTCATAGCAACCCTCTGTATGACTTCCAAGACTGTAAAAATCTTTACAGGAGCAGAAAGCCACCTCTTTTTCCAGAGGAGTGGCTGGTGAATTCAAACTGTTGACCTTGTGGTTAGCAGCCCAATATAAACCCACTATGCCACCAGAGCTCTGGGGGCTGGATTGTTGTTAAGTGCTGTCAGTTGGTTTCAACTCATAGCGACCCTGTATAGGGTTTCTGAGGAGCAGCTGGGGGATTTGACCTGCCAACCTTGTAGTTAGCAGTCCAGTGCTTATCTTACAGTACCACACCAGGGCTCCACATTAAGCTGTAGATACAGCTAGAACTTTTCAAAGCGATTGCCTATGAGTAGCTGAAGTGCTAGATCGCTTGTGTAAGTTACTCCATGAGATCCTCACACTAAATCCCGGGTGAATCTATCACCAGACCCTACTAACACAGGAGGAAGCCAAGGCTCACAAAGCCTAAGTGAACTTGTCCACAGCCTTAAAGCTGCTAAGTGGCAGAGCCAGTTTCAAAGTCAGATTTTCCTGTCAGTCAGGTCTGTGATTTGGATGGCTATGATGGATGCCCGCTCTGGGCACAGTCACTTCACTGGCATAGCCAATGCCAGTGGGATTACTGGCATCAAATGCAAGTTGTTTTATCTGCTATTTGTATTCTCAGAGGCAAAGGGCTCACATAGCTTCTTAGCTGCATGTTGGCTGGGTCTGGGTCTGCTCTGGAAGGTTCCCCAGTTTCCCCTGCTCTGTCTATGCCTATATATAAGGGGAGGGCATGCAGTCCTTATCCCTGTAACTGACTGGGTCAGGAGTCATGGAGGAAGGAGTGAGAGAAAGACAGAGGCCAAGGAGTCTGGTCCCACTAGGGAGATGTAGGCATGGAGTAGGAAGGCATTGCGTCTGACCTGGAGTCAGAGCCACACTCTTAGTCTACCCTGAATTGGAGGTAGCAGGTGTTTGCCCAAAGTGCTAAGGCAGTTATTTGTTTCTCATTTGGCTGTCGTGATTTGTGTTTCTCCTCTGCTAGAGCCTTAGAAGGGCAGAGGGGCAGAAGCACCCTGGATCCCAACAGTAACTCCTCACTAATCACTTCATGTCTCAGAGTCTGTTTCTTCGTCAGTACAGCGCCTAACTCAGAGTCTGAGGTTGACGAGATGGCATGGGTGCTTTGGAAAGGGGAGCACACTGTAGATGTATTCAGCATCTGGCTCACTCGGACTTGCCTACTTCCCTATGAGGCTGATGGAAAACCAGGTAGTAGGATCTTTAGATAGGGGCAACAGCCAAGGAGGAGGAGGATGGGAACCCTTTGAAGTACTTCCATTTCTGGATTTAAATGCTTGCTGTGATACTCTGAGGGAGCCAGCCAAAGGGAAGAGCTTGGCTGAACAGAAAAAGGTGTGAGGAAATAACTATTGAGTTTGAGGGATGAGTAACACTCAGTCCAACTTCTAGCTGTAGGAAGACCCACTATGTTCAAGAGGGAGGACTATTTCACAGGAATTTCTAAAATTCTCCAGATAGGACAGGGATTAGACTTACATTATGGCATCTCAACAGGCAGGTCTAAGATCACTGGCTGGGAGAGTTATGGAGAAAACAGATTCCTTTAGCCTAAGGAGCACTGCCATAAGAGTCAATCTAGCCCTGTAGCAGCACTCATGACTGCCACGATGACTGGCGTGTGCACTGGCATGAGGCTTTGGGCTTGACCGTGTATTTTCATAACTGCTGTTTTAGCCAGTCCCCTCAGCAGCTCGGGGAGGTTTTAGAGGAGAAACTGAAGCACAGAGAGATTAAAATCTTGCCTGAGGTGAGGCAGCAGTGGAAGGTGACAGACCAGGCTTCTACCTGGGTTCTCTGACTTCAGAGCTAATGCTCTTTCCAAAGCTCCTTCTCTGAGCCTCAGTTTTTCTGTAAAATTTGGGGGTCAGAGTCAGTGACCTCCAAAGTTCCTTGCTTCCTGCTCTTTTGAGGTCTCTGACTGATTGTCTTGTTCCTCCTTGTTGTAGATCTGTATTTACCAGAGCAAGGGGAGGAGAAGACAATATGAACATAATGGAAGGCTTCCAGGCATTGGGGGCTACAGTAGCTCCCTCCAGGTCACACATCGAGGAAGGCTACACTCCCTCTGGGTTTGAGGGTCCTGTGCTTAGAAGTGTTACCTTCCGCGAGTCCTTGCGAGACATCAAAATATGTGGATGCTTAGCCTTTACCATCTTCCTTCGAATTAAGTGGATCCCCAGTCGCTCCTGGAGGAAACTCTTTAGCAATGGTGGAACCCCTGGTGCCATGATGGGAAAAGGATAAGATTAATGTTAACCGACGTTTGCTAGGGACTTCTGCGTGCCAGACACTGCTCTCATTACATGGATTAATGTAACTTATCCTCGTGTCACCCCTAGGAGCTCCCTACCTGTATTATTAGCATTCAGTTTGGTGAGGCAAGTGAGGCCCAAGGCAGCAATGATGAGATACAAGAGATCAGAACCCCACTCTACCACTCGAGGCCCATGCTTCCAGCACTGTAGGCTCCACTGATGTAGTAGCCCCTGCACCAGGGAGCTCTTGGCCCCATGCTCCTCCCCAAATGGGAAGCAGAAAAAGCAGTCACAAGAGACTTGTTCCACAGGGTAGAGTTCAGCTGAAAGAGCTCGTGCAGGATTGAGCTCATTCTGTGCCTGTTACTAGCTCTTTCATGCTGTATGAATCTCTTGAGTCTCACTCAGTTTGCTCCGTGTATAATGCGGGCAGTAATGCCTGCCTTACCAGCCGCTATCAGGATGTTGGAAAGCTGGTGCTCAGCAGAGCCCTCTGTCTTCATCTCCCAATGTACTATGAACCTCCTCCCCCCAATGAGGTCACAAAGAGCCAAGGCCTGGGAGCACCCACACTGTTCCTTGGGTACTGGGGTGTGTGGGGCCAGGTTTGTGGGCACTGTACCTCGTGTATGGGTCACCAAAGGGTTGTTATGAAAGATGAGCTCGCAGAGAGATGGGAAGAGGGCAACTGGCAGCAAAGCATCCTCCTTCACGATCTGTAAAAAATGCCGGAGAGACCACTGGGCTGAAACCACCCCTGGCCTCTGCCAGGCGCTTCCAGGTCCCATACCGCAGGCTCGGACTCGTGAGAAGCAGCTGTAGCTAAGTTCACCACTGAGGAGTGCTTTATCCCTGTAGTTTCCCCTGCTTACACCCAGAAGGCCTTGCCCGTCCTGTCTGAAATTCTATCATCACTGTTTCATGTTTGAGAGTTAAGAACTCTCCCTTCTTCACGCTGGATATGGAGATATTGGTGGTAAAATAATAAGAACAAACATGTATTAATGTAACTTACATAGCATTTTTATCAGTGTTGTTAAGTGCCATCAGGTCGGTTCCAACCCATAGTAACCCTCTATGGGGTTCCCAAGGAGCAGCTGGTGAACTTGAACTTGTAGTTCAAAACAACATTAAACCACAGCGCCACACCAGGACTCCCCCTGTTGTTGTTGTTAAGTGCTGTTGCGTTGATTTCAACCCATAGCGACCCCATATAGGGTTTCTGAGGAGCAGCTGGTGAGCTTGAACCACCGACCTGTTGTTGTTGTTGTTAAGTGCCATCGAGTCGGTTCCGACCCATAGCGACCCTGTACAGGGTTTCCGAGGGTATAAATCTTTAAGGGAGTAGAAAGCCTCATCTTTCTCCCACGGAGCGGCCGGTAGTTTCGAACCACTGACCTTGCGGTTCACAGCCTGATTCGTAACCACTACGCTACCAGAGCAAAGTAGCCCTGTTTATTACAAATCATTGTAGGTTACCGGGATGTACACAAGGATTTTGCACCCTCCGGTGGCCAGTGGTGGGCCTACGCTTGGCCAGATATCTTATTCTGGAAGCACTGGTTAGGGTGTCATTCCTGTCACACCTGGATTCTCCTCTTCCCTGCCATCCTGAAAGATTGGTGCTGGCTCATACTGTACAATGCAAGACCAGGGACATGGCCACAGTAAGGTTGATCCAGGGCTAGGAGCAGCTAGAGTCCAGCATATGGTCCAGGGTTACTGCAGACAATGCTGATACGGTACCCAGCTGGCCACTGACCTGTAGGAGTCTGGAAATTGGGCTGGGCATTGCCTTTGACTTCAGGCTACAATTTGTCTGACATGTCCTTGACCTTGTCATACCAAGCCACTATACACACACCCAGTGTGTCACCAGTTAACTCCTGATGATCCCCTTCCCTGAGACCTGTCCTAGGTACTGTGAGATGATGGTTAGGGAACAGAAGATTACTCCTTACCATCTAAGGGATAACCAAGGCCATTGGTAAGGGAGGGCTGTTTGGGACCCAGAGACCACTTGACCCTGTGAAGCCAGCCTACAAGGAGTGGCTGGGTGGCCAAACCAGCCTCAAACGGCAAAATCACAATTCTTGTTGAGCAGAGTGACTGGAGCATCTAGGGACTATCTTGAGGGGGGCAGTCTATTAACAATGGAATACTGTCAGAACCATCTGAGGGGCTTGGAGTGGGGCAATGGTGTTGGCAGAGGTGTTGGGTCGGATGAAGAGGTAGGCACTTCAGTTTGGCTTCCACTGGGCAATTAACTTATATGCTCTCTTTCAATTTTGTTCATTCAGTCAAAAAATAACCCCTAACTGCTTACTACGTGCCAAGCACTATGTTGGGGATGAGCAAACCAGATCTCATTTTTGCCCTCAGGGAGCAGTGACTAGTGGGAGAGAAGCACGGGAGAAGAGGAACAACTATGGTAAATGCAACAAAATAAGCCGGCATTAAGAACTAGGGGGAGCTGGCCCAGAAGCGGGGCTAGAGGAGGCTGTGTCCTGAGATCTGCAGGGTGAAAGCCAAACCTAAAGCAAGCCCACCGCCACTGAGTCAATTCCAAGTTATAGCGACTCACAGTAATATAGATGTGAGTAGGTAATTGATGAATGTATAGGGGGTAGCGTATGTGACAGAGACAGCAATGCATTTATTTATTAAACCATTTCCTCTACTTCCTGGGCACACAGCTAGACTGTCTCTGAGTCTCTGGCAGCTAAGTAAGATCACGTGACTCAGTTCTTGCCAATGCAATGTGGGTGGAAGTGGTAAATGTTACTTTCAGATACAGCCCCTTCAAAACCTCCTACAGGATCCTTTACTTCTCTTACTTACCACTTGCACTCAGCCCAACCATCTAGCTTCCAGATGTATGAATCCAATAAAGTACTCTTAAGACCCAACAAGAGTCACAAGCCAGAGGGACCTGGACCCCAAATAATAATCATGAGGAAGGGCACGTGTGGAACATGAACGTCCATGTTCGTAAAACAGGCAATGAACTTCTATTATGTTAATTCAGATTTTTAAGTTTGTTGCAGCAGCTAAATATGTTCCATGCAAAGAGAACCATGTATGAAAAACCTCTTGATAAGGAGCTCTGGTAGCGTAGTGGTTACGAATTGGGCTGTGAACCTTAAGTTCAGCGGTTCGAAACTACCAGCTGCTCCGCAGGAGAAAGATGAGGCTTTCTACTCCCGTAAGGATTTACACCCTCGGAAACCCTGTACAGGGTCGCTATGGGTCGGACCCGACTCGACGGCACTTAACAACAACAACAACAACAACAAGGAGGAGAAAAAGAAAGAAGGCCAGAAAGAGGGTGTGTGGTACATAGATAGAGGTTGGAAATGTGAGTGGGACCAGACCAAATCTTGTTCAAGATTTCAGTCCTTGGGAAACCCATTAAGAGGATTTTAAAAATATGAGGACATAGATTTATCAAGATTTGGTAATGAATCAGACATGGAGTTGGCGGTGGTCTAAGTGACAGGGAAGTATCGAGAAGAACAAGCAGGTTTTGAGTTGCGTAAAACTCGATGGATAATGGAGCTATTCCCTAAGATAGGGAACAACAGAAGAGTATCATAGTTGAAGGGCAATATCATTAATTCACTTTGGATATGTACCTTTTAGAGATACCTTTGAGACCTCCAAGTAGAGATGCCAAGTAGGCAATGGGTTAAACTGAAGTTATAAACTTGTGAGTCACTATTCATGGGACAATGGGTCACTAAAGCCACCCCTCAGAACAGAGTACAGTGAGTAGGAAAGGGACTAGGAGTGGGCCCTGACGTATTCTAACACTTGATGGTTAAACCAGGGCCTGGGAATCTTTTCTCTTAAGGATCAGGTAGTGAATGTTTTAGGCTTTGTGGGTCATACGGTTTCTGTTAACAACTATTCAACTTTGCTGTTACAACACAAAAATCTTGGACAGCTTAGAGACGACACCAAAAATTCAAATTAGTGTGTAATTAGTGAAAGAATAAACTTCAAGATCAACAGAACAGAATACAGACTCCAGAAATAGATCCACCAGAAATAGATATACCAAATATATGGTAAACTGGTTTTTCTTACAAAGATGCCAAGGCAATTCAATAGAAGAAAGCCTTTTAAATTAATGGTGCTAGAACAAAAAGAACACTGAATCTTATTTCAAATCACAAATAAAACTAATTCTATATTTATTGTATTTGTTAAGTGGCAAGTCAGTTCCGACTCACAGTGATCCTGCCTAGGGTTTCTGAGCAGCGGCTGTTTCTGACCTCGCAGTTCAAACCAACCTTGTGGTTGAGTGCTTATCCTACAGCGCCACACAGGCTTAATTTTAAAAGCAAAAATAATAAAATTTCTAGGAAAAAAAATACAGAAAAATGTCTTTGTGATCGTTAGTGGATAAATTCTTCACAGGATATGAAAAATAGAAACCATAAAAGAAAAGAAAATGATTAGTTGGACTTAAGATTAAAAAAAAAAAAAAGATTAAAAGTTACTTTGAAAGAATACAGAAAGGTAAGCCATAAAACGAAGAAAATATTTATAATACATATAGTTGAAAAGGACTTGTATCCATTATATACAAAGAACTCTGCTATATCAATATATGGCAAATAACCCAATAAACAACATTTTAAATAGGTACTTCATTAAAGAAAATATATGAACCACCAATAAGGATGTAATAAAAGGAGCTCAGGTAGTGTAGTGGTTACGAATTGGGCTGCCAACCTCAAGGTCAGCAGTTTAAAACTACCAGTGGTTCCGCAGGAAAAAGATGAGGTGTTCTGCTCCCGTAAAGATTTACAGCCTTGGAAACCCTGTGCAGGGTTACTATGAGTTGGAACCGACTCCACGGTACTTAACATCAACAACAAGATGCTCACAAGCTACCCATTAAAATGGCTAAAATTGAAAAGATTGATAACTCCTAGTGTTGGCAAGGATGTTGAACAACTGGAAGACCTAAATATTGCTGGTGGGGTTGTAAAAGTGGTACAACACACTGGAAAACAGTTACAAAAAAATTTTTTTTTGCTTAAAGATAAAAAGAAAAATTAAGTTAAACTTATACCTAGCAACCAGCAATTCTACTCCCAACGGAAATGAACATATATGTCCACCAAGGTCTTATCCTTAAATGACCATAACAGCTTAGAACAGAAATACTTAAATGCCCATCAAAAGTTCAGTACATAAATAAGTTTTGTGATCCCATTTTAACATTTTTTACTGTTGGGGAATTTAGTTCTATCAACTGCAAGCAAAATATCTTAAAGAGTTCCTGCATTTCAGACTTGAGTAGGCATAACTATGGGGTTTTAAGAAAATGAAACAAGACATATGTATTGAGAAAATTTGGGAGAAACACTTGGTCCTCATGTTAAATTTGTCCCATGGATGCTACATCTGCTCTTCCCTTGGGTTAGAACACTATTTCTCACTTCATTCTAATCTCATCCTTTCAACTGACTAAACCCATTGAATGAAATCTTGAGTTAATCACTTCCTTGAGAACCTTCCCTGATCCCCAATATTAGGTTGCTCTTTAACACGTAATCCATAACACTCTATTTCTTCATAATACTAAGCATACCTATACTGTGATTATTTGTCTAGAGTAAGTCTTCCCTAACACGGCAGGATCGTGCAGTGTCTAGTTCTGTTGTGCGACCTATATGGTTGCTATGAGGGGAACCGAATGAATGGGCTACAGGCTCTGCAAGGGCAAAGGCCAAATTGTACACCCAATGCCTCGCACACAGCCTGGCCATAATACTTGCTCAACAAGCATCTGGGGTTGAATGAGCGTATTCCTACTTTGGTCTGTACTCCATTCACTCCCCATCCCCAGATTACCTGTGCCTACCCACTGCCACTGCCTTTGAGTTGATGCTCATATTGACCCTAGAGGAAGAATACAACTGTTGCATAGGGTTTCCACAGAGCACCACCAACCTTGAGGTTAGCAGCCCAGCATTTAATCCACTGCTCCACCAGCACTCCTTCACTTGATTCCACAAATCTATAAAATAGCAGCATCCCATCTCCCATATTTGCTCTTGAGAAAATGGGTAGAGAAGAAGAGACCCACCTTGTTGTAGGTCAGGCTAAGGCACCTCAGCTCTGGGAAGGGTGGAGCTAGCGTCTGGTTCCGGGCCTTTAGTGAATTCACAGGAAGAATCTCAAATATGGGAGGAAGTACACATATTTTGGCTGGCTTAAAATAGAGAAAAAAACCACAAACGTCAAAGTGCTCTCATGATAAAGAAGGTGAGTCTGCCAAGGATCAACAGACCCTTCCTATAGAGTATGGTGGAAAGGATTTGTTCTAGAGAGACATTCTAGGGTCATAATGGAAAATGTCACCAAGGGTCCAAATTCTGGTTCCAAGTTCTCAAGTTCCCATGTTCCAAGACACAGGGAGGTAATTCTACAGCACCCAAAGTTGCAGCTTCAAGTTCTCTGAGGAACAGGATGAGAAAGCAATGGTGGCTAGGTGGTTCTTCAGCTCAGAGGTTTTTACTCCCACTCTGATACTCTGTCCTAGATCAGGTTATCATGAATGAGCCTTTCTATATAGTTAGGCTAACATTTTTTTCAGAAGGCAAAAGTGCAAGTAGTTGAGTTGTTGAGGGGAAGGGAATTTCCTAGTGGGCAGAGATCTGCTGGGCTAGCTCACATCTACAGTGGAGACTCTTCATTCAAGAATGAATGACCAGCCAAGCCCTGAGGTCTGGGTGTGGCTCACTGCCTGGTCACTTGTTGTATCAGACAGAGTCTCTCTGTAGAGTGTAGACTGCCTCAGGGTCAACTTATCTAATCAAGCAGAAAATGGAAATTGCTGGATTAACCATGACTTAGTTTAGTCATTGATTTCTTAAGTTTAGCTAAGGAAATTGTTGTTGCTCTTAAGTGCCATTGAGTCAGTTCCAACTCATGGTGACCTGTATAGGGTTTTTGAGGAGCGGCTGGTGAGCTTGAACCACCGACTTTGGGGTTAAAACTGACCTCGTAGTCCAGTGCTTTAACCCACAGTGCCACCCCAGGACTCCAGCTAGGAAATGACAGCCTAGATCTTGACTGGACTAATCACTAGGTCAGATGAACTAGATTCTGTTCCTAGCTCTATCACTTGCTGTGTGAACTTGAACAAGTCAATTAAATTACATTTGTTCATTCAATGAACATTTGTGAAACACCTACTTAGGAGCCCTGGTGGTGCTGTGGGCTAGGCGCTGGGCTGCTAATCACAAGAGCAGAGGTTCAAACTCACCAGCTGCTTCTCCGGAGAAAGATGAGGCTATCTGCCCCTGTAAAAATTTATAGTCTCAGAAACCGTACATAGATGGTTGTTAAGTGTCATCGAGCCAATTCTGACTCAGCAACCCCGTATGGGTTTTCTGAGGAGTGGCTGGTGGGTTTGAACTGCTGACCTTCCAGTTAACAGTCCAGTGCTTATCCTATAGCACCACACCAGGATTCCAATAGATGAGGACAGTAATATAAAGCATGCAGTTCCTACCTGTGAGGTTGAAAATCCAGGGTAAGATGAGAACACAACCTCTGAAATGAGAGAAATAGAGTGGAGGTTTTAAGAGCACTGAAGGATCCCCAGGGAGCCACCCACTGTGTGCAGTGGGATGCCTCCTGCCGGGACCCCTCCTTCTGACTTCCCAGCTCCTGGGTATATAACCAACAGAAATGAATGTTTATAGCCACCAAAAATATGTTACAGAATCTTTATTGCAGCTTTAGCCATAATAGCCTAAAACTGTTGTTGTTGTTAAGTGCCGCCAAGTCGGTTCCGACTCACAGCGAACCTGTATAGGGTTTCTGAGGAGCAGCTGGTCAGTTTGAACTGCCAGCCTTGCAGTTAGCAGTCCAGTGCTTATCCTACAGCACCACACCAGGACTCCATATGGGTAGAGGTATATATGAAGTTTGTGGAAACACTGAATTAAAAGATAATGGAATTTCTGCATGAATTTTTGAATCCCCCTTGTATGTAAAAATGCAAGCTCTACACAGATTTCTGTGCTTTATTCTATTTAAGTTAGTCTTCAATTTACAGTAAATATAAAAACAAAAGTGTGGTGGTGGCACTAGATCAATGAAACAGAATATGTAAGTGACTATTAATGGGATTTTGATTTATAATACAGGTGACATTTCTGTCTTTTTCTACTTCTGAATGTTGCCCTCCGGATGTGATTCTTGAGACCCCAATGGGACCCAGCCAGAAAGTGCAAGCCAGCCAGCTAGGGAAGGTAGAGAAAAGCAGAATCTGAGCCTCTCAATGACATTAAAGTACCTGCACCGTCTCAAACAACAACAACAACAAAGCTTTAAAGTCACTTTTAGTTGGATTTTAAAGGCATCTTACCTGATAGAAGCAGCTAGGAAGCCTGTGAAATTGTCCATGTGAGACCTCCACCTACCCAGGGAGCCACATATTTTCAGAATAAATTCTCAAGCTTGTTTCTACTCTGGGTCTATAAGGGCATCACCCACCTGTCCGGTCCACATCCTTTTTCATGGGCAGTACAGTATAGTCCGGTTGCTCATCGGAGGCCTCATACACCCACAGCTTGGGCTGCAGCGTGGACTGGTGGTGCTCTTTCCGGGGACTCCCCCTGTCTCCAACCCAGTCCCCTGAGCCATCACGTAGGTGCACCTGCTGTAGGTACGGGACCCGGAAAATCCTGTTCTGATCCAGGCTTAACTTCTTCAGTCTGCAATTAAGGAGAGTGGACAGAATCACAACAATAATTACATCTCAGGGACACACACCAGAGACTTAGGGAAACAACATGATATATCAGGCTTGGGCACTTACTCTTTTCGTGTGACCTTGAGCCACTAACTTTTCTCTCTGGGCCTCAATATCCCCATCTTTAAAATGGGAATGATAGTATTTATTAACCTTTCAAGGTTCTTGTGAAGATTCAATGAGATATAATATGTACGGGGACCTGGCACAAACTAGTTCTTAGTATATATGGTAGTTGACACCAAAGAAAAGGTGTGGTGCTTTGTGGGGTTAATGCACTGGACTGTAAAGTCAGTTTGAACTGCAAGGTCAGGGATTCAAGCTCACCAGCTGCTCCGTGGAAACTCTATACAGGGTCAGATGGGTCGGAATTGACTTGAGGCACTTAACAAAACAACAAAGTTTAACTGAGTCCTGGCGTGGCACTGTAGGATACACACTGGACTCCTAATAACAAGATTGGTGGTTTAAACTCACCAGCTCCTCCTTAGAAACCCTACAGAGGGTCACTATGAGTTGGAACCAATTTAAGGGCACTTTACAGCAACAACAACAACAAAGCTTAATTATTTAAATGTCTTCATTTCCTACACTTCAACCAAACAGAATTCCTTTGAAAGGGTTTGAAATGCTTCCTCTTGTGGAACAGCAATCAAACTTCTCTTAGAAAATTCCATCCCCTGTCCTTTCCCTTTGCTGTTTCTAATCAAGTCACATGATCAGAAAGATCCTTTTCTGAATGAGCAAGAAATGACTTGCCCAAGGCCACACAGCAGGGTTAAGTGGTGGAACTGGGGTTTAAACCCAGGCTTTTTGACTTTTTGTCTTCCAGAGCAGCACTCAGGATGTGAACAAGGATAGGGGCTATAGAGGGTCCTGCAGACAGAGAACGTGGCTTTACCTCCTGAGTCCAGCCAGACTGGCAAAGCAATTGGGGTTGGAGAGTTTGTTGTCATCCAACATCAGTGTCTCCAGAGCTGGGAACCTCAAGATGTACCTCTTGCTGGTCAGTGTTGTTTCAGATGCCTCCCTGTGAGTGTAAAGATCTTGAGTCATGAGCCAGGGCAGGGTACAAGCTCCACTCTGCCCAGGAAGAAATGGAGGATAAGGAATCAGTTAGGAAGCCTAATCAACCCGGGAACTTCGCTAGCACTCAAGACGGGGCACTTTAGAAAGGGAACCCACGGCCATCGAGTAAATTCCAACACATAGTGTCTCCATATAGGGTTTCTCAGACTGTAAATCTTTACAGGAGCAGATGGCTTCACCTTTCTCCCATGGAGTGGCTGGTGGATTTGAACCTTGGGCCTTATAGTTAGCAGCTCAACGCTTAACCCACAGCATCAACAAGGATCCTTATAAAGGAAACTTCAGGTTTCATTCCTTCCTCATCTATTTCTCCAAACCCCGACAGAATGTGCCTTTCATGAAGCCCCAGCTGTGGCTCCTGGTAGAATTGAGATGGAGCTGGACCACAGTGATCTAGTTGCAATGGACAGATCTGCAAGCAGGGAGGGGAGGCAGAGAAGAGGTTTTCTGGATGTGTCTGAGATAGCTGAAAGAGAAGAGCATAGACATGTATGTTTTACATCTGCACGCTCAATCTGGAGGAAGACTGCACACATGAGCTGACGGGGCAGGGCTGGGAGGAGGAAGCACTGATAGTGCTCATAGCAAAATGCCAGGCAGAGCAAGACATGACAGAGCTGGGAAGGAGCCTTCTGCAGGCAGAACGCTACACTATTTGGGCTCAGGGCAACTCCTGGGTGTGCTAGGTCACAAGTGGTGACCAGAGGAGCACCAGGAGACTGAGCCCTTGGTATGACTACAACGTTGGTCACCACTGTGTGGGTGGATTAAGGATCATCCTTGGCCACAATAAAGCTCTCCTCTAAGGTGAGACCGTAAAGTGCACATATTGGTGTTTGAGAAGCCTCTTAGGTCCAAACTCCCTGAGATTCCCAGAAACACGAGAGTGAGATTTAAGGAGTTGAAGTCCTGGATTACACCGGTAGAGCAGGAATTGGTGGAATTTTACTAACATTCATTCACTCGACCTCATTTGTATCTCCAGGTGGATGAGACCTCTACTGAACAACATACAAGCAGATGACGCAATTACATTCTTACATTTCATCTTCCACACACCAAAATAAACACACACAGGCACAAAGACATGGTGTTGTCGTCGGTTCCAACTCATAGCGACCCACGCAGTTGTAAGAAATCGTATCATACAGAGTGATCCTTTGCTTTTATTTTGTTCCCCCCGCCCCCGCCCCAGTTTTCCCCAATGGTAACATTTAAAAAAATTATAATATTATAACCAAGACACTGACAATGCTACAACTCACCTAGCTTACTCAGATATCCCTTGTCTTACTTGTGCTTGTGTGGCAGGTGTTAAGTTTGATTCAATTTATGGCCTGTATATAGATTCACATATCCACTACCACAGTCAGCATACTGAATAGTTTCTAAACCACAAGAATCCCTCCTGTTTCCCTTTTATAACCACACTTTCCCTACTTATCCTCCCAAGCCCTGGCAATTACTCATCTGTCTCCCATTTCTAAAATTTAGACATTTCAAAATTGCTATATAAATCACAAAGTATTTAACCTTTTGGGATTGGCTGCTTCTTTTTTGTTGTTTTTTTCTAACTCAATATAATTTCCTGGAGATTCATTCAGGTTGTTGTGTGTATCCATAGTCCATTCTTTTCATTCCTGTGTATCTATCTATATTATATACTATCTATAGTCTAGTCCTTGTTGAAAGATTATCTAGCTGTTACAAATAAAGCTTCTGTGAACATTCATATTCAGGTTTCTACATGAGCATAAAGGAGCCTCTGGTAGCATAATGGTTACAAGTCAGGCTGCTAATCTCAAGGTCAACAGTTCAAAACTACCAGCTGTTCCAAGGGAGAAAGATGAGGCTTTCTGCTCCCATAAGGATTTACAGCCTCAGAAACCCTGTACAGGGTCTCTGTGAGTCAGAACCGACTTCATGGCACACCACCACCACCACATGAACATAAGTTTTCACTTCTTTGGGATACATGCCCAGAAGTGTTATTGCAGGTTGTATGGATGTTACATGTTCACTCTTTAGTTCCCAGATACTTTTAATTTCTGCATCCAAGTACCTGAGAAGTGCTGGGCCTGACTTCTGACCCCTGGTCTACCTAATCTGCATGCCATGGCCCTTTGGCTTCTCCTGTGCTCACACTGCTCTTCAGACGCTGCTTGTATCCAAGCCACCTGCCTTCACGTAGTGGGCCAGTCCCTCCTTAAAGCATTCTCTTTCCTAAACTCTCCTGCTCCCTGCCCTCAGTCCATCTGCAGACACTTCTCCTTGAACTGTGCCTTAAAGTGTTGGTGTTTGCAGATTCCTGACCTAGATTTCATTTCTTCTTAGTCTCGATACTTCTTCTGGACAATACCATCACCCACTTCCCTGGCTTTTCTGCTGATATCCCTGGCTTTAACCTCTAGCCCTCACCTCTGAGCCTCAGACCTCTGGGTCCAGCTGCCTCCTAGATAGGCTCATGTGAGGCTCCATAGATATCGCAAAGGCCTGTGTTCAAAATGGAACTGTTCATCCTTCCCCAAATCTGCTTTTCCTCCTCAATTCCCTGTCAATTCTTTCTTAGAAATAGCTTCTGAGTCCCCATGCACAATTTTCCATTCAGGTCTCATAACCTGCCCGTCAGAACTGTTCTTCAGTCTCTTTAACTGGCCTTGTTCCTCTTCCTCTCCACCAATTTGCTGAATGAATGAATGGAATGTTAAAAAAAAAAATATATATATATATATGTTTGTTGTTGTCAGGTGCCATAGAGTCAGTACCGACTCATATTATATTATATATAAGAGTCCTGGTGTGGCGCGCTGTGGGTTAATGCGTCAGACTGCAAAGTCATTTGAACTGCAAGGTTGGTGGTTCAAGCTCCCCAGCTGCTCTTTCGAAACCCTATACAGGGTCACCATGGGTTGGAATCGACTCAACAGCACTTAACAACAACAACGTATGTTTT